AGATCTCAGCCACCACTGAGTATTTCATTAATATCAATGCAGGAAACATCGTTTACTCTTTTGAAGACAGCCACTTGTTGATTGGCATACCTAAAATTTACCTAACGCTCAGCACTCAGCAGAGTTGTATTCAACAATTAAAATTCTAACTAATGTCTCAGTCAAAGGAATCGCACCCAAAAAATTAGTGAAAATACACGTTCATAGACAATTCAAGTAGTTGATTTCATCGAGATTCTAAAACTGAATAATTGTTAAAACTAAAAAAAACATAGGCTTCAATCCAATTAAATTATTAAATTAAGAATTTTATAAATAGTTAATAATAATAATAAAAATTTTAAAATATAAAATTGATCAACGTTGATGAATATGAATAAGAAACAGGTTACTTGACTTTATAAAATTTTGTGTCGTCAGTTTTTAATTTTATGTTGTCATCGTATTTATTATTATAAATTTATATATATCAATGCTAAATATAGAAATGAACGGTTAAGATTAAGGATGGAGAGCGGAGAAAGACAGCGTGCAATAGAGGAACCCTTTTAAAGATGCTGTGTTGCTCCCTCTACTCTGTTAATTTGATTAGACCATTCAACAAATGTATTAAGACAAAGGTACTGAAACTCAACACCAATATCTAACTCTACTCTTCAGTGCTATCTTTTTTGGACCCACTCTCTTCTGGTTTTAGCTACTTTCATCAATACTTGTAATTCATCATATATGGCCGATACTCTAGTTGATGCAAAATTAAATAAAAAAGGATTTTCAGATGCAGAGATAGGTTATAATTATCAAGTTTTTTCTGGTAGATGCCCAACATTATCATCAATGCAGTTCTGCTAAATTAACAATTTTCTTATACTTTCTTTTCCATCAAATTACAATTTTCCACCTTTATTTATGAACCGATATCCTAAGTTGCACAGTGGAGTTTATTGAAATGATCACAATAGCAAAGAAGAATCACAGTAACATCACGAAGACTAATAGAAAAATTCTCGTAAAGTAAAAAAAACATGAAACTTTAGATTAAAACAAAATTGATTAAGCTAAAATGAATCATTCATACAAATTCTACATCAACCAATCAACTAAATCGAAAAAAAAATAGATAAAAAAAATTATAAATATGAAGTTTTTTTTTTACTCATCACAATAGGTAATTCTTATGGTGTACTAAAGACTCAAATAAAAAAATTTTGGCCGTCGAAAAATTTTAAATATAAAAATTAACAATTATATTCATTATTCATCTAAATAATATAGGTGAGATAGTTTGTAATTTTATCTAAAAAAATTTTATAAAATAATAAAATTATGTTAAAAATTTCTAAACATATATAAAATATATATCAAACTACATTAAAATTATATATATATATATATATATATATATATAATTTTAAATGCGAGGCTTTTTTTTTTTTACCCAATAAGAATAACATTACTCAACCTTTATTATATTATCAATTTTGGATTTAATTTGTTTCATTTGGCTTAGGTCTAATTATAAATATGGTATATGACTATATGTACTTGACATTTTTTTTAGTCCCTGCATTAAAAATTATATTTTAATTTTTATATAAAAAATTATCTTTATCATGATTAAAATAATGTTAAATTTATTTTCTGTGCTTGATATTTTTTTTATTTTAATAAATTTTGATCTTTAAATATATATATATATATATAATTTGTATTTTAGTTTCTATATATGACATTACTTTTTTGTATTGATCAAAAAATAAAAAATATATTATATTATTATTTTAATAAATAATAGAGACTAATATAATTTTTAAAATAAAATTGAAAAATTATTTTTTCATATATAAAGTAAAACTAGAAAAAGTTAAATATAAAAAATAAAATTATAAATTATCTTTAATTTAAGTATCCTTTTAATATTTATATTTTGAATAATTTTTTGTTTTAATTAAACCTCAGTCTCTTCAAATGGCTGTAATTATGTCTTTTTGTCCGTTTTTCTCTACTCGAGACCATTAAATAACCATTTTTTACTTAAAATTTCCATAAACTCAACTATGTAAGTCGCTTAAAATCCTTTTCATGTTCAAAATTTTTTAATAAAAATTATATTTTATCAAATCAAAAAATTTAAAATCCCAAAATCACACTCCATACAAAACTGATTTTGAGATTTTTATACAATTGTTTAACAAAAAATAAAATAAAAATATGATAAAATTTTTCTAATTAATTTAAAATAAAATAAAAAACATATAATTTTTTAAAAAATAAGGAGATAGTTGGTTTATTTGTTGATTTGTTATTTTATCAAGTATTGTAGCGTATAAATGAGATTTTAAGAGGTTGTTTGATTTAAGAAAATATTTTTAATTACAAATTTTTATCTTATTTTTTATATTTGCTAATATTTATATAAAAGGTCATGAAAATATTTTTTATTATTTAAAAGTAAAAAAATAATTTGTAAAAATATTAAGAATTTTATGAAATTCAAGTCCTGTTTTTTTAAACTAAGTAGCAAATTGATAGGTTTTATTTTTAAAAAAATACGGAGAACAAAATTTATGTGTTCAATTTTCATATTATGAATAAAATTTACTTAAAATAACAATTAAAATTAATTATTAACAATGGTTGGGATTGTTATTATTATTTTAATTATTATTGTACAATTTATTTATAAATTTATTAGAGTTTGATTTCATTACATTATTAATATACAAAATTTTACACTCTCACTTCCTTAAAATATATAATAAGACTAGATATATAAACAAGATTATTACAATTAAAGAACGTATAAAAACTATAGAGTAAATGAATATGATTAGTTTGGAGAGCAAAGAGAAAAAAAAAAGTTTTTAGTTCTCATATTTTAATATATTTTTATTTTTATTTTTTTGAAATTTTTTTTTTAATTATTAATTTTAAACTTATTATGTGTCATTTTTTAGTTTAGTGACGTTAATTTATAGAAAAAAAGAAAGTTAAAGATAATATTCATATATCAATATTATCACTTTTAAAAAAATTATATTTAACGTCATTTTTAAAGTGAATGTTTCAGTCATCAATTATATAGAATTTTTAATAAAGATAATGACATTATAATGAAATTTTTTGAACTTATGTTACTAGGAGTGTTCACAGTTTTGGGTCACCTAATAAATTCGATTAATTCAACTCAATTCAATTAAAAATTATCAGATTGGTTTAGGTAGACGAGTTAGTTCAAGCAAAAATAGTATAACCTACTTATGTACGAGTTGTTAATATTAAAACTAAACTTAACTTAATTTAATGACTTGTTATATTTGGGATCGTGATGTTAATGGCTTAATTACTTTCAATCTTTTAGAGTAAATCAAGATCTTAATTCTTATCCTAGTGAGTGAATCAAAATCCTAATTTATAATCATTTTTTACTTACTCTCTCATTTCATGTATCTAATTTTTCCTTTTCTGCATTCCATTGTGGCACCATAGCTTCTACTTGTATCATTTGAGTCTGCATTTAGTATCAAAAGTCGTGTTCTTTATGCATAATATAACTCTTTGAAACCCACTAAAATTGAAACTTTGATTTGTGCTCAAAATTGGTTAAAGTCTGCTACAAAAAAGATTGTTGATCTACAAAAATTAATTGATGTGGTGCAATTTGAAACAAGTATAATTGCATAAATAAAAATTTAAAACTTACTTTTTAAACTTACATTTTATTATTTTGTTTTAATCTTTCCATTTTAATCATGAATTGTTAGATATTCTTGATGTTCCAGGTCTTAGATACATTAATATCAATCTTACTTTCTAGTCTCTCTAATAAGATAATGGTATAATTTACTAATTAAATAATTTTAGTGACTATAAGAGATGCTATAGTCTTAACATTTTCATTTGTTTATATATAATGCATCATTTCATGTTTTCGGGCTTTTCAATTTGTTTGAAGTGAAGAATTAAAAATTGATAAATAATTTAAACATATTGAATATAATTTATGAGAGGTAATCAAAGTTTATTTTTTAACTCTATATTATTTAAACTCTTTATTTTACATGAATATTAAATTGTTAGTACTATATTATATCTTAAAATGAATGATTTTTTATTTTATTTCAATTGATTTGTTATTTAAGATGTTGAGATTAAATCATCAATCATACACATATTTTTAGTTACTAACCCGGCTTCCTAACCCATTCTATGATTAGGTTAGATGAAGATAAAAAATATCAAATCTGAACTACCTTAATCCATAAAATTTTGATTAGATTGAATAATTTTTTAAACTAAAATTCACGAAACTCAACCCAAAAACAATCCTTTGTATTAATGTGAAAACAATCGTCCTTGCACCAAACACTTGGTTTACATGTAACCAAAAAGTAAAAATAAAAAATATTGTTGGATTGACTTCATGAAATTTCTTGAACGAGGAAAGTAATAAAATTTTACATTCATTATTTCCTTAATTGTATGATTTCTTCATGCCTATATTATAAATTTGAGTATTTATTCTTAAAAATAGCACTATCTTCATACATATTTTTCTTCGCATGTAATGTAATAACACATTATTTCATTTATTTTGTAATATATTATTTATGAAATTTTATATCAAATTAAACTAATTTTTTTCTCTTCAATTCATTAAACAATCATTGGACAATTTTAGTTATTTAATTATTTCATGTTAAAATTACGTGAATCAAAATTAAGTATAATCATATATTTGCAAATTATTATTAAAATAATATTTTATTAATTAAATTAATTTTGATAAAATTTCAATATTCAAATTTTCAAATATTTTGTCGGGCCTTGATTAAAATGAACTTCTAATGTTTAAAGAGGTGCTTTAGTTAGGTCATAAAAAAAAAAAAAAGAGTAATTACAGGTGAAATGAGTAGCTGCGGGAAAATGCTGATTATTTTAAAAATGATAAAATATCCCAGAACATACTAGTCTATTGTTTTTCCTTTTCTTTTTTTGTAGGGAAGAGGGTCGTGGTTTTTTTGAATCGACAGGGTCATGTTGGGTTGGGTTTTAGTAATTGAGTAACTGGTTAAGGATGTGAATGGAAACAAGAATGAACACATATTTTTGGGCCAACCAAACTTTTGAATCCAACAACACCGAAACTAGGGTAAGCAGGCCTACAATTTTAGTATTGAGTTATACCTTCACAATTACAGGTAAAACTCAACAAATTTAGTTCATGCCTTTCCCTCCCATTATGTTCATAAGATATTATATATAACAAAGATAAACACTATTTATAAACATAAACTAGACAATATCCAAGAGTAAACCAAGTTGTTTTGTTTAGTTTGTGAGAAGAGAGCTTCCTTCCTTAATGAGAACAAATACACTGCCACCATCACCCCTTGAGATGCGTAATTCTTCATCAAGGTATGTAGTTAATAACCACGACTGAGCGTTGCTGTTGGAAATTGGGATCTTCAAGGGAGGCTGACTTGAAATTGTTCTCACAACTGATGAGGCTGTGTCTTGCACAGAGGTAATGATGCCTTTGAAAGGCGTAAGGTCAATCTTTTGCCCCAGAAATTCCACATTCTCTGGTATCTCTATCGAGTCTGTCAGCTGTGGAGTACCAATTATGCCTTCCTCAAACTTAATCTGAATAACATGCAATAATATGAGGAAATGTCACTTGTAGAGCTAAATCAACATGTTGAACCAACACATCTTACACACACACACTATATATTTGTCTCTCCATCAATTTGGTTCAACTTATTTTGGAGAAATTACTTACTTCTTACAAAGCAATTATTTCTGTAAATTTAAGCTGACCCAAACATGTCATTAGTTTATCATATGATTGTAAAATTTCAATTTGAGCATATACCCATGAGAACAATTCATAAGATAAATTCATTGGCTTGTGGCTAACTCAGGAGAAATTGAAGAAAAACCTGCACACGTTTAGGACTTCGAACATCAAATTTGGCATTAGTACTAATTGAGGCGGTGGCCAATGGACCCGCAAACTGAACAGAGTTTTGGACGGTGAAATTCAGCGAGTCAATGGTCTGAGATATTTCCTCTACCTTGACCAATGGCAGTGTTCCCCTTGACAACAACGGGAATAAACCCACAAAGGATGTATACCTGCACAACCACAAGTCACAAGTCCATTCACAGGGTTGCTACTTTCTTAAATGTTCATAATCTCTATTGTGCAGCTACAAATAATGGGTAAAAACCGAAAAAGAACACAAACCATATTAAGTAAACTGAAAAAATAATAATAGGATGATAGTTAGTTGCAAGCTACTAAGACTTTCTTATGTTAACTAGTGCTGTCAGAAAGCTTTATTCAAATTATTCCCATCACCACATGTAATGCAACCTAAGAAATTCAAGTAACGTCAATAACCATTAAAACAAGTAAGTAAGTTCCCCTAAAACTAGGACCTCTCTCATAATTAATCAAAAGCTATAAAAAAATACTATTCTAATGACTTTAGCCTAGGCAAGCATATAAGTTAGAAGAATTTATAAATAAATTACAAAAAATAGTTTATAACTTTCGTCAATTCTCTTAATTATTTTAATATATTTCTTCAAGTAATTTATTTAAATAAATTTTTGTAGCTGTCTTATTTTTATTGAAGAAGTGCTTAATTAAATTGTAATGGAATCGAGCAAAGGTGGTTGTTTAGTGAGATTAATTGGTATTAAGAAAGAACTCTTACGCTAGAATCCATTTTCCGTTGAGCAGTGTCAAAGCATCGGTGGGTGCAGGTGTGGGGTTCTTGGCCTCGAGCTGAGTAATAAGCTCAACAATTTCCGCTCTGGTTTCGCTGGTTGCTTTGAGTCCACGATCGGTCCCATAAAACGAATCCACCAAAGCCTTCTTCAGCTTCTCGATTTCCGTCGGTTTCTCCTCCGCCTCTGCCACCGCCACGCCACCGCCGTTGGACTCCTCCTTCTCTGGGCCCCACTCGTCTTCGTTTGTCACAGCTCGGACACACACCACCGGCCTCGGAGAATCCGCGAAGAGCCTCGGTTTTGTGAACGCTTTGGTCCAAAACCCAACGGTTCTGGGTTGGAAAATAGAGGGCGTGGAGTTGAACGGGGGGACCGAGAGGGTCTTGCTGTAAAGTTTGGTGTGGTGAGAGAGGGACGCCATTGTTTTGCAGGTTCAGAGAAAAGTGAAGATGGGACAAAACAGAGCAGAACAGAACAGAATGGAGAAGGGAAAGTGGGGGATGGATTTATAACTTCAACGCATGAGATTTGAGAATTGACTGTGCTACGTTGTAAAATGAAAAGATCGTGTCCTTCTGATTAAAAGACATTGTTGTCCTTGCATTTATTAATAATATTTGCAACTTATCAAAAAATTTACGATTTAAAATAATATTACGTTTACAATACATTTGAATGTGAATTGAATTTGCTCATTTAATGATCATTTATTACTCTTAATCAAAGTAGGAAAAATAATTAAGCTATTAAGGTGACATGACTAATTTAATACAATTAAAACTGAATAATAATTTTAATTCATTTGATTTGATTAGTGTTATGAGTGAAGCTAATATTATATATTTTCAACAATTGTTCACAGAAAATCTTATGTAAAGTTTAGGAGTAAATTTAATATTTGAACAAAATTTAAAGTAGGATCTAAATTTTTTTCCATATAAATTAATATAAAAGTGGTTAAAATATAAAATATCATCGTTCATGTTTAGAAAGGTAAATATAATATAATAATAGATAAAAATTTGAGTCTTATTTAATATTTTTTTTAATCGTGTATATAACAAAACTTTAAAATATTATATTTACTTTAATGATATTTTTATCCTAAAATAGTTTGATATAAAAAATAAATTATTTATGAGAAATAGATACGGGAATTTAACTTTCTCCTATGTAATAGAAGAGAGAGAGAAAAGTTTTCTAACATAAAAGTTTTCATAATAATTGATTATAAAGTTATTAAATATTTTCAGAGTGCACTGTAATTGTATTATTTCAATCTTTTTTATAATATTTGATTATGTCTCTGATTGGCTGGCTGAATTTGTAAATAAGTTCTTATAATAAAAAATATAAAAATAAATAAAATTTATTTTATAAGTTAAAAATAATTTATTTTTTAAAAATTAGAAAAATAAAATAACTTTTAAAATATAGATAAATATAAATAATTTTAATTTATAGAACATAATAAAAAGAGATTTATTCGTTTTTATATTTATTTTATAGAAATTTATTTACAAATTCACCAAAATACAATTTATAAAAATTAAAACTACCAAAATAAGCTATTTAAGTCCATTCAAATAGGTAGATAACAAGACGTGAACATTATTATATTAAATTAAAATTTTAAATTTAAAATAGTGTTTTAAATCAGTAAATTTTAATTTTTCACATATTTTTGTGAGCTCATCACGTGTGAAACTTGATGAGATCAAATTTAAAGAAAATAAATTTAATTCAAACTGAAAAATATAAAGTTAGAGTTTTACATTGTATTGTATTCAAACTGAAAAATATAAAGTTAGAGTTTTACATTGTATTGTATAAGTTTAAACTATTTTGGTTGAGCAAGTCTATTTTACTAAATTCAGTAAAAATATTAAATTATTTCATAATAATTGACTATAATTTATTTTATTTTTGTAATAATCATTTATAAAGTTTATAAACCTTTTTTTACAGTAATTGACTGGAGATACATTATTTTTATGAAGTTCAATAATGATTAAATATTATATATATAAATTATGCATTTAAATCCCAATCACAAAAAAATAATTATTTGAGAAAGAAAAATTAAAAAAAAAAACAAAAATCACCCGAACGAAATTAATCACAAACTATTGAATAAGAATATAAAAAAAATTTGAGGTAAGACAACTAAGTTTTTAAAGATAACATCATTACTTTAAATTTTAAAATTAAGTTAAATTCGTTCGATTTCAACTTTATAAATTTTAAGGATTTTGTTCAAGTACATTATAAAAATTAAAATACTGTAATTAAAGATGTTTGATCTATAAATTTTTCTGATTCATTATTCTATTGAGAAAATAAAACTCATTTTCTATGAAAGAGAGGGAGCCAAAGAAAGAGAGACAATAACCGTTACTCATATTCATGAAAGACTTAATAGTTAGAAGATCTGAATAAAATAATAATTATTGTCTGTGCGATGAATTATGCCTCAAATAGTTTAATTAGACAATGTATTATAAATTTAGAAGCAGAGTATTAAAAATGCATTTTCAAATATTTATTTAAGTTAGGAATTGCTTTTATTACATTAGAATGCATGTTAGTTGTGCAAGTCTAGGTCACGTGATAGGCTTGGCCAAATCAATAATGTTGCACCACCATGCCATGGGCAACACCACATGCTCATATGTTGGCATATGGCATGCATGGATACACATTGAATGTTATAGTGTAGAAAAACCTTACAAAATTTATAATATTTTAAAAATATTGTATGAGTCCCAATAGAAGACTGCTAGAGAGTTATTTGGACTTGAACAATTGACATGAATTCTTAGGTGGTAAAAATTACTTTAAATAAATATTTTAAAAACTTTGGTAAGTGGGAGAAGGTCAACGTCGGTTCTTGAGAAAATGGCAATGAGAGAAAAAAGAGACGTGTAATAGAGTAGAATCTTGAAAGCCTCAATAGTAGGCGAGTTTAGCGGTCATATCAAATGGGCCAGGCTTTACGAGTAGAAGAGGTTGATATTTGAGTTGGGGTACTTTGCTTGAGGTTTTCCATTAAAACGAAAACGATAGATAACTAGAGTGTGAGGCACGCAATCAAACACTACCTGCAACTGCCATCGTGGCTGCTCTAGAATCTTCCATCTGTTTCTTGTTTTTAGTCGGCAGATAATTCACACATTTGTCATATTCTCCCATGCTTTTCCATTACTGCCCTCCTTTTACCGCAAATCTTACATTTGCGGTTCAATTTTATGTGTTCATATGGTGTCAATATTATATCTAAATATTTATAAGATTAAATTAATATTGATTATAATTATTTAAAGTACAAAAATAAGTTGAAATAATTCATTTATAAATTTATTTGTTTATGTCATTTTTTTATATTACATTAATCGCTTAATATGTATGATAATTGATTGAGAAAATAAATTATGTTTATTTACTCTTGTGAAAGATTTGACTTATAACATGTGTTTCAACTTTATATTACTGTTTAGTAAAAATATATCAAATCTAATTTTTTTTAGAATTTGTGTCAGATAAAATAAAAGAGTTTGAACGTAATATCTTTATTTTATTTTCTTTTATTCATAAATTTTAAAAATTTAATCAAATACAATATTTATTTGTAATGATGTCAATATTTTAATTTCAAATATTTATTTAAAAATAGTTTATTTTATTTGGCCTATTTGTTTTTTATACATGAAGTTAAAGATTCGATGGTGGAGGTATCATATAGTTAAAGACAAAATAATGCTCTCCCTAAATATATAAATTTAATTTTATATTTAAAAGATCTTTAAATGATCCTTTAGTTTAAGATTTTTTCTTTTTTTAAGGACCTTTCTATAATAAAAAAAATATTAAAGAATTTTTTAACAATAAAAATAAATTATAAATTAATTAAACCAATTATATTATACTGTGTAGGAGTATCTTATACTCCTCAAACGTGAGAGCACTATAACAAGAACCATAGTTAAAACTGTTGGTGGTGAGAGAATATAACTTTGGCCAAGTTCGAGTAACATGTGAAAACATAAGTAGAACGAACAAAGAACTTGAAGTGTTGGTCAATATTATAAGTTAGACAATGAACGAAAAAATTATTACAATAAAAAAAATGAACAGAGGTATAAGGATGAACAATTGGTAGACTTGGTACATAAAATCTAGAAATAATTTAAATTAGATGACTAATAGGATGGATCGTCTATGTCTACCAGGGGTATAAGGTTAAATGTGTTTGGACGAATTGTGGCTTACATGGGTGAGTTTTGGCCTTATGCTTGGGCAAGGTCAATTTTTGTCGTTGAAGTTGAACCAACATCGACAACTATTAAGAGACGGTAAATTTTAGAGAAGTGAGAACAAAAAATGAGTGAGGTTTAGAGAATTTTAACTCCTGGATCAAGTGGTGTAGAAGGAGGCCTTGAACCAATGATGTTGATATCTAAAAAGAGATTAAGGCAATATTTATGTTGACATAGAAAATTTTCTTTATTTGCGTGGTCAACCTCAGGACCTAAAAAATACTTCAATGTACCAAGGTCTTTTATTCTAAAGGCGTTATGTTGATTGTTCTTGATTGCTGCAAATTTTGAGATTGAATTGCCAGCAAGTATAATATAATCAACATAGATCAATAGTGCAATGAAAAAGCTATTAGTGCTTTTAATGAATAAGGAGTGATTTGCATGGGTATATATATTTAAACCCACTTATCAAACAATAATAAAGTAAGTTTCATGTACCATTTTCAACTTGCTTGCCTGAGTCTATATAGAAACTTTGTTAATTTGCATACTTGATTAACATAGTGGAAGTCATTCTTGCTGGTATGGTCATATACGCATCATCTTCTTCTAAATATCTATAAAGGAATGCATTATTCACGTCTAGTTGATGCTGCAGGAACCATTGTTTTATGAAGGCTAGAGTCAAAATTGCTCTCACCCTAGTGAGCTTACCAACCGGAGAAAATGTGTTGAGGTAGTCTAATCTTTCAGTCTTTGTGTAACTCTGCCACGAAACGTTCTTGTACCGCTCAACACTGTCATTTGCTCGTCTTTTCACTTTGTACACACACTTACTCCTACTAGGTATTATTCCATTAGGTAGGTCAGTAATGATCCACGTGTAGTTTGCCTCAAGTGTTGAGATTTCAACATTCTGGCTTCTTTCAAGTAAGCATGTTTTATAACTTCTTTGTATGTCTTAGGTTCATCAATTTCTGATAACGATATGGAAAACACATTATGAGGAGGAGACAATTTGGTATAATACACATAAGAAGAGATAGGATTAAGTGTCTGATGTACTGTGTTGCACTCATAATCTTGCAAGTATGTTGGTTAATTGGCACCGTCTACGAGATGACTAATTAGTCCATTATGTGTCAGAGGAAGGCAATGAATTAGGACTTGTATTATTAGTTTGTTGCGCTATAGAGTCAGCAACTTCTTATAAAGGATAGTTTAAGGGATCTTCAAAGTATTGTTGAGTAGAGGCTAAC